AGGACATGAAAATACTTTGTTGCATTGCTAATAATATGGAATGCATAACAAAAACAGAAATTGCTAGAGAAACTCAGCAGGCCTGGCAGCATCTGTGCAGAGAAAACAGAGTTAATGTTCTGCTCCAGTGATGCCAAAATGTTAACTCTGCTTTCTCTCCACAGGTGCCACTAGACCTGCTGAGTTTCTCCAGCAATTTCTGTATTTCTCTTGAACTTTCAGCACCTGCGGGTTTTTTTGTGTGTTTTTTGTATGGTATTCATAAGTGCATTGCACTGGAAATATGACACTGGGTCATAGAGTCATACAGCACAAAAAGAGTCCCTTTGGTCCAACTAGTCCATGCTGAACATAATCCCAAACTAAACTAGTCCCATATGCCCACTCCAGGCCCGTATCTCTCCAAACCTTTCCTATTCATGTACTTATCTAAGGGTCTTTAAAATGATGCAATCCATGAACCACACAGCAAATACAGTGATTACAACAGCAGGTCATAATTCCGTGGTTAGTAACTCACCTCCTAATTCCTGTCCGCCATCCACAAGATACTTTTCTGGGTGTATTTTCTATGCAGTTCTAACAATACTCAGGAACCTCAACATCTTGCTGAGCAAATCATATAACTAAATTGGCATCCCATCCCACCACTTCCACATTCAGTGTATTGACCACTGATGCACAGTGGGAGCAGTGAGTACATCCATTAGGTGCACTGCAGTAGCTCACCAAGGCTGTTCCGAAAGCACCTTCCAAACCCATATCCTCTAACACCTAGAATCCCAATGGCAGCTGATGCATGGGAAGACCACTGCCTGCAAACAACGTCCTATCTAATGTTCTGCACATGACGATCAGTGTTGGCATTCTGGTTGCAACATTGACACCCATTTTTGGAAGTCGCTGCCACACAGGGGCTTCAGAGACCCATGCAGCCATAATGAAAATTAAGGGAACATTGCCTGCATGTTTGCCTCCGAGACACACATTATTCTTCCTTGGAAATGTATCACCGCTCCTTCAATGTCACTGGGTCAAGATTCTTCAACTCCTTCTCTAGCAGCACTGTGGATTCACTTATACTGGTTCAAGAAGGCAGCTTGCCACCACCTTCTCCAGAACCATTAGAGAAATGGCAATAACTTAGCCAGATTGGTCATATCCAATGAATAAATAATAATAAAAGGAATAATATCATTTCCTGGATTAACTGTGGGACAATAACCTGGTTGAGAAGTTCAAGGATATCAAAAAGTATAACAATCACCTGCATGATATACAAGTGCCTTTCAAGCACAAAAATATCCAAAGTGCTGCTGAGAAATATATGATAAGCTAATGATGGAGCTATTTGAAGGAATGATTTAACCTTTAGTGAAGGGTCAGTTTTCAGGAGGATCTCTAAAGAAGAGAGGGTGCAGAGGGTAGGGAGTTATGGAAGAATTCCATTGCATGGAGCCTCAACAACTGAAGGCTTTGTTCCTTGAGAAATGTATGCCAGGGAGTTGATGCCTGAGAAGCCAATATTAGAAAGATATAAGTACTGTGATGCTGTAGGTTTATAAGTCTGAAAGATCTTACATTCAGCTAGGGAGGACGGAGATCATGAATGGTTTAAACATGAACTTGAGAGTTTAACATTGGAGCTCTAGGAGTAAATACATGATGGAAAAGACAGGAATGAACAGTGAGCCAGACCTGATGAGGGATAGGACACAGACAGTAATGCTTTCAAAGTATTGACATTTCCAGGGGGTGGAGATGAAAATTTGCCAGAAAAAGCGATTAAATAATTGATGCTGGTGGTGAGAAGAGAATGGGTGAGTGTTTCACTGTCATTTAGACTGACAGAGAGAGAGAGTTAATTGGTAATACAGAAATGGAATGTATCTGTGTCTGGCATGGAGAATATGTAGCGTTAGAAACCTCAAATTGTGAACAATTTGGTTAACCCTAAAGTAATTAACTGGTAGCAACAAAAGAAATTGATGATTATCATTGATCTCCAAAGGTGATTTGAGGAGTGGGTGGTTTTAGCCAGGAAGGGCAATAATGCTCGAGGCCTGATTATGCTCAAGATGGTCCACCCTGTACTGAACAGTGAAGCCAGTTTTCCAACAGACATGCCCTATTGACTTGGAATGAAGATAGGGTTCACATCAGAAGGCCTGATTGAAAAGGGGGCAAGGAAAGGTTGTACTCAAGTCAAAACTATCCAAAGCATAAATGGTTAAGAAGATTGATGATGAAACATAAGTCATTTGAATCTGAAGAAACCTCTCAAATTCACTTTGGCATTGCTTCATCCTTTAATATTGAAAACTTTATGAGTCACAATTAGAGATAGTAGGAACTGCAGATGCTGGAGAATCCGAGATAACAAGGTGCAGAGCTGGATGAACACAGCAGGCCAAGCAGCATGATAGGAGCAGGAAGGTTGACGTTTCGGGCCTAGACCCTTCTTCAGAAAATGAAGAAGGGTCTAGGCCCGAAACGTCAGCCTTCCTGCTCCTATCATGCTGCTTGGCCTGCTGTGTTCATCCAGCTCTGCACCTTGAGTCACAATTAGTATAATTTCTGCACTTATAGTGGCTGATTCAGCTAGATACCATTGGCATGCAGTTAGGTCCGCACCGAACAATTATTGATGATGATATTGCAACAGCTAATTCAGCAATACATGATTTGAAGAAGTTTATCTTTGGGAAATTCTAGCTCCACAGTATGTTTATTATTTTTCAGGCAAGAATTTACAAAATTCTGTTATTGTGTGAAATTAAAACAGTGAGAACATATTTTAGGGCTTGTGATTCATTCTCTCCTGCCAGAGATAGTCAAGTGGAATAAAGTGTACATCCAATCCAATGTGAATTAATACCTGTCAAACTGTCAAACTGCTAAAATTTAAATACAGGATCAAATCATATTTATCTCAATTTCAAACAAAACCATGAGAACCTACATTCCCTCTAATTTTTCCTGTGCTATGTGGAATTCTGAAGCTGTGCCTGACAGCGACTTCCAAGTCAATCCTTCTGTGTGTAAATGTGTGTGGACCCTCTGAGTGGCTGACAGAGAGTATTGAAGAGAACACTATCCTTTCACCTCTAGAACTGAAGCTTGGTAATGGCACAATATTTTCGAATTAAAGATATATGAGATTGATACCTAGGATGAGTTGGTTGTCTTATGAAGATAGGTGGGACAAGCTGGGCTTCCATTAGAGTTTAGAAAGTTGAGGGATAACATGTATAAGGATTGAAGTGTATATGATCCTGAAAATCAAATTAATAAGACGGTTGTGAAAGGACATTTCCTATTTTAAATCAGTCCAGGACTAGGGGGTGTTGTTTTAAATTATGTCTTGTCCTTTTAGGACAGTGACGAGGAGAGCATTTTTTTTCTCTCAGAGGGCTGTCCGACTTTGGAACTCTGTCTCAGATAGAAGCAAAATCATTAAATATTTTTAAGTCAGAGTTAGATAGATTCTTGTTAGGCAAGGGATTCAAAAGTTGTTGGGGGCCAATGGGAATGTGAAATTCATAGCACCATCAGATCAGCCATGATTTTACCGAATAGTAAAGCAGGCTTGAAGGGCTGAATGGTCTACTCCTGCTCCTGTTTCTTACATGAATGTGTATGCTCATAACAACAACCTCTCTCAGAGTCTCTTCATGTAAGTGAAGACTTTCATCCCTGTTACCATCCTAGTAAACCTCCTCTGCACCCTGTCTCATGCTTTACCATTCTTTCCCAGAATGTGATGCCCAGAATTTGCCATAATATTGCAGCTAGGACAGAACAAGTATTTTATAAATGCTGAGCATAATTTCCCTGCTTTCATAAAATGTGCTTCTAATTATAACATCAAGAATCTACCGACACGTTTTCTTTGATTTATCACTCCTCCTTCAAAGAATCATGTACATACACCCCCAGGTCTTTCTATTCCTGAGCCTTTTCTAAAATTGTATCATTTTATTTATATTTCCGCCTTTCATTCCTGCTACCAAAATAAATCTCTGTGTGCAGTTTATTGGCTGAGTTTTCCTGGACCTAAGAAGCTGTGTTTGGAAAAGCTCAGCAGGTCTGGCAGCATTTGTGAAGATAAAGTCAGAGTTAATGTTTCGCCCTCAGATCATTCTGAGGAAAGGTCACCGGACCCGAAACGTTAACTCTGATATTTTTCTTCACAGATCCTGCCACACCCTGTTGAGCTTTTCCAGCAACTTATGTTTTTGTCCCTGATTTACAGCATCTGCAGTTCTTTCAGTTTTTATTAAGCTGTATTTGGGGATGGGGAGGGCACATTTCCATGGAGTGGGATGGTGGCCTTTCTATTTTGAGCATCACCAAATTTTCAAATGTCTCTTTTTTTTGTTATTATCTGACTCAATTTCCCTATTACCATCTCCTTTCGTGTAACATTGGCAGCCTTCTCTCTTTAAAAAAGACAGATGTAATATACTCAGTAATGTGACTTTAACCATTTGTACATTCAGTTAGTTACCGGGCATAAATTTGCAGCAGAACGTCTCAATATCAGAGAGAGTTAATAAGGGATTTTGTGGAAAATGGGGCCATCATTTCATATTGAAAGACAACTGCTGGGTTGCAGTAACACTGCCTCTATTAGAAAATAATGCAGGAAGTCTTAAGTCTTGGCTTAAGTTGTACCAAATCTGGATAACAGTTTCTTGGCAAGAGTTGTCAATACAAATCAAACTTATCCATTCACTGGTAAAAGATATTTTTCATCTTGATTAGCATAAAACACAGAAATCGAAAAATGCTTTGCCACGATCATTATGGAGGGAAGAGAAAATGTTTCTTATTTCTCCACTGATTTTGCTTTCTGGTTTCTGGATGTTGCTACAGAAGTATTCCTAGTCTCTTCTGCTTTCTAACGAGAGGTCACACTGATGATACTGTACTGTTTTGAATGCAGTTTCCCAGTACAAACAACAGATAGCTTGGAAAATGAACTTCTTCTGTCTTACCTCCAGATGCCATCTGGGAGCATTTACAGCCACATTCATCATTGTCAGCATCCTTGGTGCTAAATTTTGTACCAGAGGGGCTGAGGCTGCTGGTTCTCCCGGCTGTTCCACTGTAACCCTTTATGTGGAGCCTATGAGATAAACAGAAAAAAATTGAAACAATGCATCCTATTGCCAGACTTTTCCTCAGCTCAACAAAACAAGCTTCTCTTGGCATTTGCTGTTAAATAACTGAAGTAAACAGCGATTTATTAATATGACCTAGCCAAAATAAATTTGCAATTTATGCATATTTAACATCTCTGCGACTGCAATTAATTAATAATTGCCCCAGATTTCGCTGCAATAATCATGGCACCTGAATAACGCACAGCGTTACTAATGTGAAAATTTTCCATAATGAATTGTGAATTACCATCAGTAGCTGTTTGATATGTGTTGATTTGGTGTTTCACACTTATCCACCTTGTGATTTTCTTTATTTGCACATTAATTACTCACTATATTTATAGAAAATCAAGTCTAATAACTAGAGCAAGCACTGTTTTGATCAAGGTGAGAAGTGTTAATGATTAACAATCAACATCTCTGGGCCAGAAAATGAATAATTTGCACTTCTAACCAGATGTTAGTTTATTTTTGTTTTCAACATGATACTTGATGTAGTACAAGCTGTTTTATCTGTAAAGCTATTTCATACATGCTGCAGCAGACTGTGGACTATTCAAGCATTAGGCAGAGAACATCATGTTAATGATGAGGAGTCAAATATTTCAACCCTTCACTTGAATATAAATGTTTCACAAAAATATATCATACTTAACAAAAATGATACACTATGAAGATATATTTCTAAACAAATGGTGAAGGCTAGCTACAGTATCCTGCATATGGTTTCCATTAGACCAGTATTTATTATCTTTGGTCCAGACAGTTTAAATAACTGAATGAATATTCTTTGCATGGAAATATTGTTTGAATTAATTGTCTAAATTCTGCTAAAGTGTGCCCTGTTAGATAGAATCATATTATCCCTACAGTGTGGAAGCAGGCTATTTGGCCCATCAAGTCCACACTGACATTCTGAAGGGCTTCCTACCCAACCACACCACCTGCCCCACCCAATCCCTGTAACCTTGCATTTCCCATCACTAATCCACCTCGCCTGCACATCTTTGGGCTGTGGGAGAAACCAGAGAACCTGGAGGAAACCCACACAGACACGAGGAGAATATGCAAACTCTACATAGACAGTCACCCGACATTGGAATTGAACCCACGTCCCTGGCGCTGTGAGGCAGTAGTGCTAACAACCGAGCCATCATGCCGCCCTCATAGTTTCATGTATGTTTAGTTTTTCATTTATTTTCCAAGTGGATGTAGAATCAAAAGCAATAAGGCATTGGAGACCAACAGCATATCTTCTTAACCAATGATACAAAAAGAATTAGTTAAGGAAATAAGAAACAGCTGAGAAATGAATTCATTTTAGTATTGAGGAAAATTCGGGGGTAGCAATTGGCCTAGTAGTATTTTCGCAGACTATTAATCCAGAGAGAGAGTGAGTGAGTAAATATGTTTGTGTGTGTGTGTGTGTGTGTGTTTGTGTGTGGAATTAAGGCAGACATAGATTAACTCACATTGTAGCTGACTTGATAATCAGTCTATCACTTGTTTGAGGGATAGGTTTGCCTGTAACAAACATGTTATATTTAGTTTATTCAAATGATTGGTGAAAGCCTCTTTTGTTTTAGTTAACAGTAATAACAAAGGAAAAATAATCATTTTTGATGATTGAATAAGGCATATACACTTTTGGTACAGCTGTGGAGTTGTCCAGTGTACTCTTCTGCCAGAGTCATAATATTCTCCAAAAGGATTTAATGATCTCAGTGGGGAGGATTTCCTCTTTCTCAATGCTACTTTTAATCTGGTTTCAAAAGACAGGAATCTACAGACATCAGCTGCTTGAAACAGGGTAAACAGTCAATCAATCTGAAATATTCTTACAAATAGAACTAAAAGCACTAAATTCCTTCACTTACCATCTAGGGAGTATAATAAACAATAAAAAAGTATTCAAATAGAAGCAAAACATAATTTTTTTTTCTAAATACAATATTTTGGTGTTATAATGGAGAAATTTGATATTCCACAAATATGTTATCCTTTCAAGGCTGCTGCAGGTGATTGGTAATAATTCTGATGTTAGTGTGCTGTTAAAAGAAAGCAAGTTATATCTCTTTCAATAATTTGTGACTTCTTCAATGTTTTCAGAGTCAGATATATGAATTAGGTGCAAGTTTCTCTCATTCTATAAATTGATCATTCGTTACATTTTGGAGGTTGTGATGTCAACAGCATTTCCTCCAGAGAAAGTTGGACTCGCTGTAAACCATTCCTGAATTGTCACGTTATTCTGCACACATGTGGACTCCAGAAATATCTATCAGTTTCAGTTGTGCACAATGATCGTGTTGCTGTCATAATCACTAGAAAATCTGGACATTTAAGACGGGATGGAAGGTATCTAGCATGCTCAAGAAAAAATAGAACAAAAGGAAAGAGGGTGATGTGCTTCTAAATGAAAGAGACTTCCAAAAGGTTAAGCAAAATCATGGCACATGAGAAGTTAACCAAGGTATTATTTTTGTGCTTTTAAAAATTCATAGCAAGAAAATACTGGTGTCCATCATAGCTGAAGAGGAAAATCATCCACTTACGGTGAAATAAGCAATGTGTATCCAAATCAATTGCTGAAATTTAATGGGGAATTTATGCCAAGCTAATACAAATTGTGAATGCCCAAGTGATTTTCAAATGAGTAAATTACTGCATGATTGCTTCATGACCCAATGCCTCAGAGACACAGAAATGAAAAGATATCATGGCTTGGTAATTGTAAGTGAATTAAAAAACATTAAACAGGGAATGACTATGGAAACTAATATTTATACAGTACATTTAAGTTAGAGAAATACCATGAGGCTCTTAGCAGTTAGTTCAACATAACTTAATAGCATCAGTTGAGACCAAATGAATTCCCTTTAAAAGCAAACCACTGAGTATCTAGAATGATGAAACATGGTCCTAAATGGATCAACAGTATGCTCTGTAAAGGAATAAAACATGGCCTAAACATTTTGTCACAATGCTGCACTGAAAAGCTCAACATTAGAATAATGGAATTTGAATGTAAAGTTTAGAAGAAGGTAAGACATCACTTGAAGACTAGGAGGAAATTACGGGGCCAATGTTAGGTTCAGGAGGGGAAAAGATATTCCCCAGGAAATGGCATTGGTAACTCTATTGTTCTTGTTCAGGTTAATGATTCAAGTAAGGAAAGCCATCAAACGATAGATGAGCTCAGGAAGGAGTTAGTGTTTGATTTGTACAGTCAGCCAAAGGCCTGTCAAATGAAGTTGATCAACCTAAGTGTTCAGAACAGCAGCCAGGTTGATTTTAATCAACTTTTATGTAAATTTTGTTCACATAGCACCACTTCAAAGCTGTGCTTTACAGATTACATAGACTTCCCATGAGTTGACAGCACCACAGGATAATAATGCGTGAACATCCCACATGGGTTTCTCCATTGATAGCATGAAGAAAGCAGTGCTGTATGAATGAGCTTTGAACCCGTAATTTTTAATATATCCAATTACTGAGAAAGCAGCAACCAAAACAAAAGATGCAGAAATAAGTTGCTAAGCCATTAAGTCATCCTTGAAGGATATGATACGGAATATGTACAGTACCCTGTAGCAGAATGAACTTAATGTGAGGTAATCTACTTTGTGTCCACGATAGATCAATATAGTCTCTAAATGACAAAAGCTGGGAGCGGGTAGATTTAGAGACTTGCATGAAATCATTAAAAGCTAGTAGGCAAGCACAAAATTAATTTACAAGGCTACCGGAGTGTTGGTCTTTACCTCTAGAGGACTGGATTGCAAAGAAATGATAGCCTAGTCATATAAAACTAGTCAGACTACATCTAAATTACTGTGTTTACTTCTAGGAACACAAATATATCATAGTCTTTAATGGGGCACAATGCAGATCACCAGAATGATCGAAAATGATCCCAGGAACGATACTCAATGCCCCCGAAGAAAATTCAGACCCAAACTGACCGCCTATAAAAAAGGCCCTGGCCACCACCCACTGGAAGAGATGAGAGGTCTGACTTGCACTTCTCAGTAAGAGGCAATCCTGTTGTTGAGATCTGCCAGGGCAACCTGATTGTTTTAACAGTCCCATAACAAAATGTTGCATTCTGCTGGGACTTCAAACATTCCCCGGAAATAGGAAACCATCAGCACTGGCCTCCAGGGTGTGGGATGGAAAGGGATCAGAGAAGATAGGGAGGCACGCGTGGGATGGGAGGCTGGAATTCAAGGATTTTTGGAAGCACAATGTGTAAGGCAGGAGGGATTGTGAATTGGTAAGGGAAATGCCCTTGAGATGCTGAGGGACACATCACCAAAGCAGGTGAGAAAATGGCTTTGGTGGCCAATGTATCACAGAAAGAGAGATGGACGTAGGCCATTAAATAGGCAATAATTGGTTTCTTAAGGGCCTCACTAGAACTAAGGCTGTGAGGCCTATTGGGCACCATATTTATCCCTTAATACTATAGGGACAAGATTCAGGTCGGTGATTGGGGAAGAGGTGGGCTTGCCAGCAAAATATTTCATGTGCTCCCCCACAACAGGGAACTATGAAATCCAGCATCACCTTGTTATTCAAAGTGCACTTCAAATTCGGTACCCTCTTTCCTGAAAAAGCTCTTGAAATAGCAGGTCCATTGACAATTCCCAAACAGAAATTGGTGGATTTTTATTTCTCTCAGAACATATGGAACCAATGAAGCCAAAAGAGGATGCATATTGACATGATCTAACTAAATGACAGTACAGGCTCAGAAAACAAGCTGTGTGGTTAGACTACATCTGCAGTCAGAGCTGGAGCAGGCAGCCTGGGGTTGCTGGTAGCGAGAGCAGGAGCAGGCTGCAAGATGGTGAGAGAGCAGGCAGTCTGAGCCTGTGGCAGGGGATGGTCGAGCCCTTGTGAGGAGTGTGAGCCCAGCATGGCGAGGTGCTTGTGGACTGCGGTGTTAAACTTTTAA